TAGAACAATATAGTGTATGTATGAACTTTGTCGCTAGGTACTATAATTAATAAATATATTATGTTATTCATATTAAATATTGCAAGTTTATATTATGTGAAAATAAGAGTTTTGAATTATGAATTAAAAAAGAATTCTAATAAAAATATTCATTTAATATTAATAAGAAACGAAAGTAAATTTTATTTACCAATAATTATCGTTGTCGTCATATGAACTAGTTGGTTTTTTGTCATTATAAATGTATCGTAAAAATGTGTACTATTTAAGAAAATATAATATATTTTAACACGGTTATTTTTTTTTATCATTTGAATTATTGCCGTTTAGTTCTAGAGATAACAGTTAACTCTGATAAACGTTAGTTATATTTTAGTTACTTTTATTCTAATAGAATTGGCAGACTGATAGAATGTGATTTTATATTTTGGTGTTTCTGGGTTGGTCACGCTGATAAAATAAAAATTGTGTTATCTTTTGGAAGAACTCTTATCTCTTATCATTTTTTGGAAGAACTGCCCTGTACACTTCTTGACCACCGGGCACCGACTATTCCGTGAATTCTATGATTGTATAATGAAAATATATTATATATTATTGTCAGTATTTGTATGTCTTAGATTTGGAACTCGTTTGGTGTACAAACAGGGAAATTACAAATTACTAATTAAATATAGTTGTCGCTAGTACTGTATTGTGGGCCGAATGAGTTAATTTCTATAATGGGCCGAACACTGTCCATTCCGCAACTAAATCCAACTCTACACAAAAGTTTTTGACTAACTACTGATAAATTTAAAGACAGAATCGGGTTATTGTACATAATGAATTTAATATATTAAATTCATTAATTACGTTTTATAGTGTATTCTTTATTATCAATTGCACATTTTAATTTACAGTATATCTTTCTTTTAATTATTGGTTAAAAACCTTTGGCAAGGGCAACAAAGGGCATTGTAAGGGTTATATTTAATTAGTTGACATACATAATTGAATACAGTAGGCTATACATTTGAAATAGAAAAGTTATACAAAAAAGATAGAAGAATTTTATAAACAATTTTTTTTATGAATAATAAGTATAAATCTGATTGTAATATATAATTTAGAATGTAGGTGATTGATTCAAATTAAGTCCCAAGGGTTTCAGATAGATTTTTGAATATATATATTGTTGTTAATCCGTTGTGACTGGTATTATAAACAATTTTGAGGTTTTGTATGACACTGAGAGACGAGAGTCACTTAAAATGGACAATAACTTACAATATAAAAGTTGGTTTTTAATTACGATTAATATGTGAAAACACTCAAATTTGTATTATAAAAAAGTAATAATATTGAATAGTTTGGTTCCTAAACCAGTGTTTAAATTTTAAATCAACGGTATAGAGTATAGATTATACCTTTTTTTAATGACATTATTAAGTGGTAAATTAAAAACATTTATATTGTGCTGTTAAATTTCTTGACTTTTGGATATCTGCTTTTGTTTATCAAAAGTGATACAAACCATGAAATTATTTCTTGTTACTTTTCATCTTCTACATCAATGTTATGTATCAAACATTTGTTCAACACCCCTCTAAACATTTTTTGTAGAATCGTCTCTGATATAATTCAATTTGTATTTTGTATTTGTATTGACTTTTGGCTTCAGTGTTTGTACAAATAAGTAAATATTAACTAGGCACTATATCGCAACATAATGGATTAAGGGATACCAGAAAGGACCATGGCCCGCTCACCCAGGGCTCACAACATCATGGGATCTTTCAAGATTGAAAAAAGACAATTAACATAATTAACAACATTAAAATGTAGCTTTATCCCATTTAGTGATTAGATAGTGTAATTATTTTTTAAATATTCTGTCGAGGTTAGAGCAAACAAATTTTAAGCATAATATATATATTTGAGATTTTTAAAATCATTCATAAATAATTATTACATTTTTAGTACTTAGGAAATATCATTAACGGCCGTTTATAGTAGTTTGGGTAAAATTTAAGTACAGTTTAGCCTATAATTTTATTACTGGTTAGGAATATAAATATTTGGTTTTTTTTTTTGTCAAAACAGATAATTTTAATAATATTATTAATTTCTGAAAATAAAATGATTTTATTAGTCGTTTGCGTGTTACAATGTACGTGGCGGTGGCAATCACGTTGTATATGATTATGTATTTACTATTTATAATAATAATTCTATCAAAATTAAAATGAGAAATCTTACAGAATCTAAAATATATAGATTATAGAGAATTTTTATAGGTTATTATATCTACATATAATCTAATTTCTAAAACAAAAATTGTTGTAAACAAAACTGAATCACCGACGTACAATTAAAATATTATTAAATTGTTAATATTTTTAAATTTATTATTATAATATTCATTATTGAAAATAATAAGTATCAGTAAAATGTTATCATTTCTACAATCATTTATTTTGTAAATAACAAATTATTATAAAGAATATGCGTGTCCATGGAGATTCATTTTAATTTTATATTATGTTGTCTTTTGTAAAACTTACAAAATGTTACTTGGTATTGTTTTTTTTAACGCTCATACCAATTTTAATGGTGACCCCCCCCCCTAACAACCTAACGGGAGCCCCACTCCTCCATAAATCCGACCCTGTGTTAAAATGTTAACAATACAAAATGCATAAATCACATTAAACCTACTAAAATTTGGTTAGGTCAGTCCTTGAATATGCTTTTATTTTGAATTATAACATAGTCTCCTTAGCAATCTGTAAAATCGATCCAGAAACTATTCCTATATTTTTTACTTTTTAAAGTTTTAAGAAAATAAAGCCAATTGTTGAATCGTCTATAAAATACTATGTTGACAGAATTTAAATGATATATTTTTAAATATATCATATAAATAAATAACTATATCATAAATTATATAAATATAAGACTGTTCTGAAAAATGATGATTGGATTCATTTATTGTACTAAATATTAGTTTACGATTTTATACGCAATTTTACGTTTCTACACAACGACAAATTTATCTCGGTCCAGTAAACCGAATTATAACTCGTGTAATTCAATTCAAAATGTTGGCTTATTGAGTGCTCTCAATAAGCACTTTTAACTTAGCTTATTTATTATTTACATTTTTTATTTATAGTCTTCTATTAACTCTACAAGTTTTTTATACTTATTTTATTTTTCTCTACAATTTTAGTTGTAATTGGTAAATCATTTGTCAAGTTTATTTCATATTGTTGTACATATTTAAATAAATTATTGTAAAACTTGTTGTAAACAAATTGTAAATTGCCTCATTAGCGTAAATTTATTACTATTATAAATACATTATTGTTAAGGACAATTTTATCATTCGGTGGTTAAAATGTCGTTTATGTAATCTCGGTTTAAGATTAATCGGAGATTAAAAAAATTCTGAATTTATCAGTCAAATTTAATCCTAGCTTAAGTAAAGTGGGTTTTACAAACAGAAGGTTTATTTATTAATAATTATTAATTAAAGTATGTTACAACGTTAAAATAAAAATGTTGTTAACTTTATATTGGTAAATATCATCTGCTAGCGGTGCTTAATTAGACATACTTCCCAATGTTGGATTTTAATTTTTAATTTATGTATGCATTTTTCGACAAATTTTCTAGGTTTTTTAGGAAGTCAATTTGCAATTTTCTCTTTTGAAGATCTCCAAAATTATTTTTTTGAAAATTCAATGATAATTTATTCCCGAATTGCATTTGAATTTATTTTAGGCATAACATTTTAAATAAAAAATTGAAAATATTGGTTTATAATATAATCTAAAAAATAAACTTCCGCGTCACTATTATGGTCGCTACTACTGCTACTAATCTAATTATTTCAGTCATCTAGAATTAAATATGCATACAATTTATATCAAACGTGTAGGTAATACAATATTTATAATTTAAGCATCCGTTTTGAATTGAATTGGTAGTTACATTGAAATAACTACCTACAATGTAACTGTTAATTCTATGTTTTGTTACATGCAATCATAAAGTATACCTCATCACTATAATTCGATAAAAGGTTTTAAGTGTGTAAAAGCAAGCAAATAACTAATAATAATATAGGAATATTATATTATAAAACAATAGATAGTAGATATTTCAGTAAAATTAAATATTACTTGATAATATTGATACTAATCTCAATTCTCAGTTTAAAGTTTTTAACTAACTATAATATGCTAACTAACTGTGATTAATATTCAGCTAAAATTTAACCGAAAGAGTCAAATAGATAAAGTCAATTTTTTAGTTTAACAAAGATTAACATTAAATAAAGTGTAAATTATTTTAACAAGCAGTTGATAAAATGACCTTAAGTATACTATATTTGTATCGATAAAGTAACGGAGTGAATAATTATTACAATTTTACAGTTTATCAATTTATTATTTATAGTTTTATATAAATTAGTTGTTGAGTCATGTCAGTGTAAATGGAATTTAAGGTCCATATAATGTTTATCAATGTAAATGTCCTTTAAAATAGCGAAATCATAACATTAAGATTTTTTGATAAGTCATGTCGATGTAACTGGAATTCGAGGTAAATGTAATTCGAAGCAATAATTAAAAATGGAACTTCGATGTAACTGTAAATCGTGGCATAAAAAAAATTAACGAAAACTTATTTTCGTTGTAAATGTACTCGTGTCAATTGTCGTCGAAGCAATTGTCATTCGTAACAAAAATGTCGGAGTAACATAACATCGTAGCACGCAACATTCGTGGTAACTGTGTTACCCCATTTAATCAATGCTCCAGGTTAGCGACCGGTAGGCGGTTACGGTTATCTGCTAACATTAATAGCAGCTTCTAAATAACCTAAAAGTTTAGTTTTAACAATTCAAACTATAAAAATCGTAAACATTTAAGTATTTAACATTAATTGATATATATATATTATTTTTATTTTAGCTGGTTATCATTACTAACTAATTACTATACTATATATTATTTATTTATTAAATTTTGAGTAATTACTAATTTTATTAAAAATTATAGTTTAATGTGTAGTGTGTAAAAGTGGTATAATACGCTATACTTTATTAAACATTCAAATATATGTAATAAAATAATGAAGTATTAAAATTCTTATTGAAAATTTATATTTTTTTAGCATCATAAATTATATTATAGTTTTGTTTTTTAATACTTATTAAACTTTACCGAAACTGTGTCAAAATGATAAATATTCAGGATAAAAAGAGTGAAGAATTTCCAATATCAGAGGAAGAAAATGACAAACTTACAATTACGCCACTGTAAGAATCAACATTTTAGTCCTACAGTAATATTCAATATGTTTAACTACACCTATAATACTATGTTGAAAAAACATTTTTGGTTAGCAATTTTAGTTGTTAATTATAACTTTGCCTTAAAATTATAAGTGTTTTTTGATTAACATAATATTTAAAAATAGGAATGTCAGTAAAATAAAACTTGAAAAAAGTTAGCACATGGGATTTTGGCATTTTAGAGGTGGTGTGTATTAGGATTTTATCAAGAGAATGAACAAAAAATGCATTCTGTGACTTGCTAAAAAAAACTTTGTAAATTTAAAAGTTTGTTTCCATAGAATAGTTGAATAATAAAACATTATTTTATTATTGTTGTACTTTTTTAGTGGTGCTGGACAAGAGGTTGGTCGATCTTGTATAGTCATGGAGTTTAAAGGGAAAAAAATAATGGTGAGGCAAATAAATTAATGATTGATTTTGTATTTTTTACTACCCACTCTTTAAAAACAAGTTATTTTTTTTAATAGATGGACTGTGGTATCCATCCAGGCCTCCAAGGCTTAGATGCTTTACCTTTTGTTGATCTTATTGAAGCTAATGAAATTGATTTACTTCTTATAACTCAGTAAGTTTATATGTTATTAGGTGTGTATTAAACTTATGTGTACTATTAAATAATATTTAATTTTCTAGTTTTCACTTGGATCACAGTGGAGCGCTGCCATGGTTTCTATTAAAGACTAAATTTAAGGGAAAATGTTATATGACACACGCTACCAAAGCCATTTATCGATGGCTTCTTTCGGATTATATCAAAGTCAGGTAAATCATAATTTAATATATTTTTAATGTAGTAAAAGCTAGTGGCTAATATGATTTGATTCAATTGTGGAACCATTGGCGATTCCTTCCCTCTCGTTAATACAAGGTGGATTGACGCCTGATTTGGACGCCAATATAAATTCTTTTATTTTTATTAGTAATTAATTTTCACATGTTTGCATAGCGATGTGTTAATTTACAAATATATATACAATTATTGCTTGCATTACAATCTTATGGGATAAGATTTATGGATATATTTACTGAAAGAAGTGTATACAAGAGTGTTCTCTCATTGGTTCTGTGTATATAAAAGAGATATATATTTTTTTATTAATCACTAATTTAATGCTGATAGTAACTTTTATTATTTAATTTTTAAATTATAGTGTATTAACTATTATTTAGCAACATAGGAACTGAGCAAATGCTTTATACTGAAGCTGATTTAGAAAAAAGCATGGACCGCATTGAAACTATTAACTTCCATGAAGAAAAAGATGTCGGGGGAATTCGTTTTTGTGCCTACAATGCAGGTCATGTGTTAGGTGCTGCAATGTTTATGATTGAAATTGCTGGTGTGAAAGTTTTGTACACTGGAGATTTTTCAAGACAAGAGGATCGACACTTAATGGCCGCTGAAATCCCACCTACAAGACCAGAAATATTAATTACTGTGAGTTATACATTTTCTGATGCATTTAATGTATTTTCATACCAAAGGAATGTTTTGTACTAAAATCGAGAGTGAAGAATGTTCTGTTAATAAAAATGTAATATTGCTTGAACTGTATTCAAATGAAAATTGTATTACTGTTATGCAACATAATTCTCCTGGTTCCTGATTTTTCAATTCTTGGAGAAACTTTTAATATTGTTTATTTTTAGGAATCTACATATGGTACACATATTCATGAAAACCGTGAAGAACGAGAACAGCGATTTACTATGCTCGTACATGATATTGTTAATAGAGGAGGAAGATGTTTAATACCAGTTTTTGCATTAGGAAGAGCACAAGAACTTTTGTTAATTTTAGGTATTTATTACACTTAACAAATTCTGCATAGGAAAAAACACGTAAAATGTATCCACTGGTTTCTAAGCACCTTGTTTATTGTTTTTAATTTTAGATGAATATTGGGGTCTTCATCCAGAACTGCATGATATTCCTATTTATTATGCATCATCTCTGGCTAAGAAATGTATGTCTGTGTATCAGACTTACATTAACGCAATGAATGATCGCATCAAAAGACAAATAGCTGTTAACAACCCTTTTGTGTTTAAACATATCACTAATTTGAAAGTATGTATGCAGATATGGTATACTAAAGATATCTGCCGGAAATTTTTCCGGTGACCCTATTAAATGACCTGATATCTTGAAAACACAAATGATTTTGGTATTCCTGAATTATTATTTTTTTTATCATTCCAAATTCTTAGTACTTGAAGTATTGATGGGTTTCATTCCACGGTCAACAAACTTAAGAGTTAAACCTTAAAACTAAAAATAGTAAAAACCATAACCAAAAAAGCTGATAGCCTGAGTTGCCTAAACTTCAATAAATAAACAAATGTAGTCAGTTTTTATAGAAAAATGTAACAGTTAAATTATGAAGGTAATGCAATTTTCATCCCATAAAAGGTGAAACTTTATAGCTTGTGTACTAGTATAATTTTCATAATTAAAATAAACGATTTTTTTGTATTTATTTCAAATCATTTAAGTCAATTTAATTTAACATTTTTAGATGTTTAACAGTGTCTTTAAAATTAAAGCAAAACAAATTATTAACTAATCGTTAGTTGTATGTTGGTCTAAACAACTGCAACATCAAAACATTAAAAAAAAAAAAAAATTAATCAGTTAACAACTAATTGGTGCTACTAATGACTGGTTACTAAATTGAATTTTTATGGTTATTTATTTTTAGAGTATCGATCATTTTGAAGATATAGGTCCATGTGTTGTGATGGCATCACCGGGTATGATGCAGAGTGGTTTATCTAGAGAGCTCTTTGAAATGTGGTGTACTGATAGTAAAAATGGTGTTATTATTGCTGGTAATGTCAAAACTAAGAATTAAATATAAAATGAAAATAATATAATATTGAATTTTAGGTTACGTAGTGCAAGGGACACTAGCCAAAACTATTCTGTCTGATCCTGAAGATATAATGACAATGACTGGGCAAAAATTACCATTAAAAATGTCAGTTGATTATATTTCTTTTTCAGCTCATACAGATTATCAACAAACACGAGAGTTTTTAAATATTTTAAAACCCCCACACATTGTAAGTATTAATTTAGAAAATATCATTAAATTACTTTCAAGGAAAATTTTAAAATGCAATTTTGTTGTTTATGTTAAATATTATTTCTAAAACTGTTCAACGCCTTAATTTTGTCCTAAATAAAATATGTTAAGGCGGGCCACACTTATGCGGCTTTTGCCACCCGGCATGGCCGCGCGTAACGGAGTATCTTTCTACATAGACGGAGCATACATGCTGCGGCTTTTAGTAAATTTACTGTACTAAATATTTTGATCATCAAATAATCTGACACATCAGTCTGGTTAAAAATGTCGTTGGAGGAAAATACTATTCTTTCAATCTCGCATAAATGTGCACTAGGGCTATGATCTCGTGAATAACACAAAAAAAAATATTTAAAAAAAAAATTACATTTTGAAAATAAATTTCACCGTGATGTGGTAACACTAAATTTGATATATAGGATGATCAATTAACGATAATCATTTTAAAGAAAATGAGTGTCACACATTAATCGATCACTCTGCATAATTACAACCGCCCGGCGTTTTCACCGCCCGTCTACACTATCTCGGCATGGTCAAATCAGCACAGGCCGCCTGGCTATTCTTTGAACTAGACTGCTTACCTACCCAATCGCCAATTTTGCCGTGCGGCTCTGGAAATGCCGCGGTAAAATAATTTTGTGACGCCATTATTAGGCATATGTGTGGACCTGCTTTAAAACTACTACATAAATCATTGTTTTGAATGTGTACATTATTAGCCATACCTTTATGGCAAATGCTTTGATAGTCTATTGATAGTTATTAAATATTTGGACACTCAAATAATTATGTATTCAGTTATATAATAAGCCAATAAAAAAAATTGGGTATTAGATAAATATTGGTATGTTCTTTTATCTGTGTGTAATCATAACCTCTATTATTAATATTTATTTAGGTTTTAGTACATGGTGAACAAAATGAAATGCAAAGATTAAAATCAGCTTTAGTTAGAGAATATGAAGAAAATGCAGAAGATATTAAAGTCTATAACCCCAGGAATACAGTTGGAGTAGATTTTTATTTCACTGGTGAAAAAACGGCAAAAGTGTGTAATTATAATTTAATTTTAATATATTTTTTATTTTAACTGTTATGTAAAAATATATTTTAAATTGTTTAACTATATTTAATGTTCATTATTTAGGTAATGGGAACTTTAGCTGTTGACAAACCAGTAGAAAATAAAATTTTAAGTGGTGTTTTATTAAAAAGAAATTTTAGTTACCATATATTTGCAGCTGAAGATATACCAAGTATGATAATTTATATATAAGCCTGTGAAAATGACAGTGGTGTTAGTCACATAAATGTTGTTTTGAGAAATTGAAGGGTTTGCGTTTTGTATTGCACACAAACACATTGACTAACAAAATTTTCTCTCCCGGACAAAGGCTCAACTTGACTTATTCTACTGACTAAATGACTTTAGAGTATACTGATATTCCCTAGCGATATTACAGATTTTTTTAAAAATTTTACTTACGTCACTTTTATTCTCACCGGCTAATATTCAATAAAGAAAATAAATGTTTAAAAATCTTATATATAAATATTGATTAATTTTAGGATATTCGGACATGTTATTAAGTGAAATCCAACAAAAACAAGTTCATAGGTTTACAGGATCATTTACTGTATTGCAAAACATGTTGTCACATTTAACTGGATGCATTCCTGAAGTAATATATCCCAATAAAAAATTAAGAGTATTGAACTCTGTGGACATATCAGTAGATAAAAATTTTGCAACTCTGGAATGGATTACTACACCTGAAAATGACATGTATGCTGATATAGCTGTTCAAGTATTAATGAAAATCCAAACAATGAATCATGGTGATATGAAAAATATTACATCAGTTCCATTTACAGAGTATGACCATATGCATTTTAAGGTAAATTATCACAATTCTAAAACTTATCATGATAACGTTATGATAGACATTGATTGGGGGATATATGAATAAACGATATTGTGTAAAAATATATCTTCTAAAATTTCATTATTTTTGATTATAAAACTCCTTATTTATTTATTCTAATATTATTTTATGTATTCATCGTACATACATTTATTAAATAATATAATTATATCCTTGTCATTATAAGTTTTAAAAACACACACTGAAATTACTTTTAGAATATATAATACTGAATAAAAAGTAATAATATAAAAATGAATAACTTGAATTAACTTAAATAAGTGTAAAAAAAAATGTTTGGGGTAAATAGTTAAAAAATAATAATTATACAAATTTAAAGAAAATAATTACACTTTATTTAATACCTAAGAGCTAATATAATAAAACAAAAAACATGTTTTAGTCTGCCTGCTCTTGAATAATGATTATTTCCGATCTATAATCTCCTTGTGGCCAAATGTTTTGTAATATATGGCTTCAATCAGTGTATTAGCAACATTCACCTAGTTAGTTATTTTGGATAAATTTAACGATTCATTTAGTTGTGTTCGTTATTATAAACAGTAAATATATTTCAACAAATATAATTTGACAGAACATATTATATACAATTATATTTATTTATATATTATATAAAAAAGCAACTGCTAGATCATGCCACTTTCGCTTTGCTATTTTGTGTCGTTTTTGAGCTGGGGACAAATGCTTAAGCATGTTCCATGCTAAAACATCTTGAATAATATTTTACTATTACTATCAGTTTTTTATAATTTATTTTTATAATTGTTTCAGGAATGTTTAATTGAAATTTTACAAGAAATGTTTGGTGAAGAATCGGTTCCTAAAATATTTAGAGGTGAAAAATTGTTTGTAGCTGTTGATGGAAAGAAGGCAAATATTAATTTGAAAACTTTGGTATGATAGTTTTAACACTTTCATTGTTCGTTAAGTAAAAAAGAAATAAAATTTGCTTACTACAAAAAAACTATGTACTTCACATATTTTGCTCAAGTTTTGTAGAATGATTATTTTATTTTCTATGGTTTTTTTTTATTATAGGAGGTCACTTGTGAAGATGAAAGTTTGCAAAGAATGGTTCAAGCTGCTGTATCTAAACTACACACTACAGTAACACCTTTAAATAAATTTTAAATATAATAAATAAAAACAAAATTTGAAAAGATGCAACTTTGTTTTGTATGTATATTTTTTTAAAATAAACTAAATGTAAATAACATAATTTGTTTTTTTTTATTACATTATACATTATTAACCATATTAATAAAGTGTCATAGTCAAAATAAAATATTTTTATTTTGTTGAATATGTTATTTAATAGCTATTACTTTTCATTTTAACATAAAATAATTCTTTTCTTCTAGTGAAAATGAAAACTATATGACATTAATCCATTCTATTTTATGTTTTAGTTTTCATGTTCATCCGCAATTTTACCCTAAAATTCATTAGCAGTGTTTACTCTGTGTGAAAATTAAATTGGTAATAATACATACAATTTGGGGTACAGTTGTCAGGTGATATTGATACTGCGTCACCAATGTTTAAAAAGTGTTTAAATCTCATAATTCATAACGTAATATGGTAGATCTAAACTCTAAATACAGTAGTAATTGTGTGACTAATTAACCTGGTGTCTGCTACTATGCAACGGTAAAATCTAAAATAATTTTGAAATCAGAATGAAGACGTTTACATGTTCTATGTGTACACTATTTGATGATACCAGATTGATAATTGGTAGGTGAAAGTCTAATGGTTTAAAATACGAGGAGCAGCATCGCCATTCCTTTTCAACTCTTTTTTATAAGAATTGTAGTATTCCTAAACAAAAATTAGTCAAAATGTGTCTAATAGTACTAAAAGACACATTGGAAATAATTCAACACCATTTATATTCTTAATAATTTATCATAATAATAAATATGTATTCATATACATATTGTATATTTATTTATAACCTTATTTTCAAATACATTTTGATTGTTCATACATAAATTTATAATATTTATATAATCATACGACATAAAATAATATTTTATTTATTTAATAACAACAGCAGCTCGGAAGCTGCCATTATCTAAGATCTAAAACCATAGACCTTTTACTCTTTTACTGAGTAAGAGGTCCAAGTCTATAACCGTTGATGTTATCATATGTTAGATAACATTTGTATCTAATCAGTGATTTTAATTATAATATTATCACAGAATAACAATAATGAGATATTTTTTGTTTTATCATTCATTACTCTATGATTTAACAGTTACAACTTACAAATATAAAATTATGATAGTATTTTCTAATTTCCAGATTCCAATTTATTTCAATATATGTTACCAATTTCAGGACCATTCTTGTTTGGAGATTTTACTCTTAAAGTCGAAAGTTTATTTTTAGTCGTTTATTATTCAACAATGTATTACTAGATACCTATTGAGATAAGAAATATTATTTTTGTTTTAATTAAGTATTCGTAAATTAATCAAAAACCACAAGTACAAAAAATACACGAAAACAAATCTTATAAAAAGATAAGTAAAGGAAGAAAGTGACATATGGAAGTCAGTGAAGCATATTGACATTAAAACAACTTTGTCACTAAAGTATATTATATCCATACATTTTTAAATGTTTTACTAATGATGGAGTCAACAGAAGAAGTTGGAGTTGTTAAACCACCGAAACTAAAGTTACTGAATTGTGTAATTTATCCTGGTGTTGTTAACAATGTGGATCATGCTATTAAAAACCTTGGTGGTATTGATGAAATTGCACATGCATTTGAACGTCAAGATGCCACATTGTCCGTTAGTTTGGTAAAATCAGAATTTGGACCAACATTAAGTGGTCATAAAAACTTTGGCAGATCATTATTAGTATCTGTGAAAACTAAATTTAAAGTGAATAAAAAAACCGGAATAAAAAGTTCAATGGAAATTCAATCTATTGAAGTTGTAGGTGTTGTGCAAAAGACTTATACATTTACTAATATGATAGATTTTGCTTATTTTCCATCTCAACCTAATTGTTCAGAATTATGGCATTCTAAAAACTTGATAGATATGCAATGGGCGTTAAAAAAAAATGTTCCATTAGTTTTGTTACCAAACAAGCTTGGTAATCATAATGAACCACAGTCTGACTTTTATGATCTAGTAAATCTTAAAAAACTTGACATGTTATCAAAAAAACACCGATTACGACCATATGTTCGTAATTTTACTAAGAATAATCGTTTTGATGATAATGATTTACCACCTATACCTTTTGACTTATTGAAGTATTGTTTAACTGTCAAAATGTTTTCACCGGATGAAAAAAGATTAATTGATAAACTATTTGAAAAAAGACCTATTTGGGTAAAACCTGCACTCTTTCATTTTGCTAAAGTTATAAACAAAGAAAAAATGAAATATTTACTGCCAACTACAGGATACTTCACAACAACAGGACCTTTTCGCCGCATGTGGGTCAGGCAAGTTAACTTTTGAGTTGTATAAAGTTTTTATTAGTTATTATTAAAGTTTGGAAATAGTTACTTGATGGTGAGGATAAGGTTTTTCTTTAACATGATGTGGCTATTGAGATTTTTTTTGCAGTTGGTGATATTTATTTCACTCATTATTGTACCAGTGGGATTGTTATTATAGTTGTCACTGACCAGTACAAGAATAAACGTAACATATCTTTTGGTTTTTTACCCAAAATCTAAATAATGTATAAAAGGGAGTTTATTTTGACATTATTGATTACTCTTACACACAGACTCAGTAAAAACTGATACATCATTTAAATCATAAGCATTAAAACACGCATTTGTATAATAATTTAAGTAAACATTATATTTATTATTATACAATAATAATAAAATATTTAAACAACATTTAATCATGCATTATATTTATGGTCAAAAAATATAATAACATAATTAAATTGTTTTCCTAACTGGGATGACTAGGTATGTTGGATATTTTTCTATCTTAAGTTTAAGTTGGATATTGAAGGAGTGAACGTTATAAGTATTTTTATTATGTTTAACAAAATATAAAAAAGGAGGATAGAAGCGGTTTAGAATTGAAGGGTACTAGTCCTGTGGTAATATGAAAAAGCAACATTAAGAAGACATTTGTCTTGTGTTAAAAGGGGTTGGTGGTTAGTGATAATTTTTGTGAAGATTATAGGTAGAATAGATATTAATGACATCTATTACCACCCTAACACCCTCCTTTTCCCATTCGGCTATGATGAATTAGGCGGGTAGTACACTGGATGTAAAAAATATGTTTCTATTACTTATAAGATGTTTTAACTTATTAAATAATGCAACTTTTTTTACAGACATGGATACAATTATCATAATGATCCGTCTAACTACATATATCAATTAATTGAGATACGAAATAACTGGCTTGATGACCATCACCCAGCTAATCCAAAAAAAGCCAAATTCCAAATCCAAGATTACGATCCAAATGCTGCTGAAAAACAGTTTTATTTCTCACCAAATTCAATTCCATTATCAATTGTAGCCAATTATCAGTTATGTGATATTCATTTGCCTGAAGTTCAAGAAATGTTGAAAAATGCATCTCTGTCGTCTTCTTGTAGTAAAACGGCAGGATGGCTCAGTAAAGAGTTTATTGATAAAATTAGAGTAGTTATGTATAAATATTTAGAAAGTGCATGGCAAAAGTATTTAATGGGAGAATTATCTTTAAATGACACTGAACAGATTAAATTGTATAAGGATTATATGGAAGAAGACAATTTAGATTATACTAGACAGAGAATAACAAAAATATTAGAAGGGCATGAGGAAAGCAATCAAGACAGTGAAGAAAATGATGAAATTAATTTTGAAAATGAAGGTCCTAATGATGAGTATGATAAATGGGCTGCACTGGATCGTGACGAGTTAGCTAAAATAGTTTTTTCAGATTCTCGCGTCAAAACAGAAGCGATCAACTCCAATCCTGGTAGTGATAATGAATACGATGTTGATTTTAAAATTAATAACTTGAGTGTTACTAGTTAAAGAAAAATTAAATGCTATTTTTCAAAATAATGTAATTTTTCGTTTATATTTTTATACTAATAGAATGTTACATACACTTATAACATATATATTTATTAATAATTCAACAAATTAAGTGCTGATGCAAAATTGCAACATATTTAGAATTTATATGTGTATCACGACTGGGATGTGTATAATTATTAGAACATTAAGACAGGGCTGGCATTTTGAAATAACACAATTTGCTGCATAATGTAGAAAATTATTAGTATTACATTAATTTTGTTGTAATTTTATCTTTATTATATTATTTAAAAAATTAAAAATAAATATCATATTTAAAACTTTGTAACATAGCTACAATCATCTTATTTTACCATTTTATAAAAATTGTGTCGTTATTTTCAACAGAATAATAATCTAATGATTGGTTCATATTGTTCATAGTGTATTCAACATCTGGGTTCTGTTAACAAAAAATGCATACATTTATTAGTATCACAATATGAAAATTGTTTGAATTAAACTTTTTTTATACAAAAAATTAAGCATTATTTATAATTTAATATTGAATTCAGTGGCGTACTTAGCTTTTTGCGTCCCTAGGCTATTTTTTCTAAGCCCCCTTCCAATTTTTTGCAATTGTATTTTTCCAATCATTATAACCTATTGATGCAAGTAAATGATAATCCAATTCACCATAGATTTTTGTGATATTTTTAGAGAAATACCGAATAGAATAAATCCCGCCGCACTGACGAGACACCGTCATTCTGTAGCAATGTCAATTTTTCATCGAACATTCAATTTTTTTTTTGTAGAGATATAAAGTTCCATTCACTAAAGGTAATTATACCAACTACTAATTGAAGTACATCATTAAAAAAAAAATTGCTACTCACAAAAAATGCCACCCTAGGCTCCAGCCTACTTAGCCTGACGTTAAATACGCTACTGATTGTATTAAGATAAATAGTAATTTTATTAAATGTGATAAAAAAAGTTATCGAAAAAATATTAACAGTACAAGTTTTACCTGTAATGTTGAGTAAGTGAATTCTAATGGTTTATTTCCTAAATTAAATAATCGTTTGCTCAACTCTTTTAATCGATTAAGAGTCATGGTCACAGGCAGAGTTTTTGTTTTCATGTTATGTTTTACATTCGATTCTTTACAAAAACTCACTAATTTAATGCTTATAGTCTTGATTTTGTTTGACGTGTTAATGTCTTCTGAATAATCGGAACCATATTCTAGAAAAAAATTGTACACAATCATTAAAAAAAAAATAATTTTACAAATAGTTTGCTGAACAGAACTAAAAAAACTTTTTTATTGCATACTTGCAGTAAGTTCTAAGTAACGTGGGTATTTTAGGAGAAAATCCTTTCTTTCTTCATCATTGTTTAACTGTCTATGCCATATTATATCTAATTCCTTTAAAAAATCTCTTTCAAAGTGTTTTCTTTCAATTATTGTGATTGCAGTTCCATTTAATGTCTAAATTAAATTAAAAATATAATAAAAATGTCTTCTAAATAATTCATGTGCTGTTTTTATTAAGTGCTCTTTGCTTAAGTATGTTTATAAATGAATAATATGGATACAAAAGAAAAAAATTAAGTTTATATGGTAAGTTTCCAAACAAATGAAATGTTGTCAGAAATAAAAATTTTAATAGATATGTACTGTCAGAGTTGATAACCTCGATACTATTTGCAAAGTGTAATTTGCAACAGTCATTCCTTTGAGGAGTGGATTGTTTTGAATACTTAGAGAAGTGAGTGATGCCAATTTGTTAAATTCGTTTACTGACTCCATCTTAATAAAAAAAAAAAAGAATTAATAATTAGTAATGTGTTAAATGTATATAAATAAACATTAGAAAAAAGTCTTACATCTTGAATATTATTATCTCTAACCATTAAGTACTTCAGCGATGGAAAAGATGATGGCAACACACTGATAGCAGAAATTTTATTTTGGTTTAAGTTTAAGCATTCTAATCTATAAATATGGTACCATATTTATTAATATGTAGTAATAATAAATCATTGAATATACAAGATATAAGTATTTATTAATTTTAAGAGATATATTACTTCGTGAGTGAGCTGAGTTTATTAACTTCTGACCAGGAAAGATGATTGTTTTCCAAATTTAGAAATACTAAATTATTAATGGTATGCGTAGCAGTTTCTAATTCACCAATATTATTATCAGGAACCTTCAATATAAATATTCAGTGTTGTAAAAAATAAATTGTTTTCATGAAAAAAAACTTGAGTATCTAACTTATATTTTAATACCTACTTCTAATATTTCAAGAAGAGGAAAAGCTGAACACAAACACATGACATTATTCCAACTATAATTTAAATTACCTAGAATAATTTGTTTTAAGTTTTTATAAGAATCGTTCAACTTTTTACAATCTAATGGCATTTCTATAATATTAAAACTGAAAAATTATGAATACATTTAATTAAAGTTAGCTGATGAAAATTGCAAATAGAAATTACCTTAAGTTCAAGCTAGTTAAATGTTTCAACTGCTTGCATATTTGAGAAACAGTTTCCCAGTTTGAAAAACAATTACTACATAGCTCTAAATCTGTTATCTGTGGACAGCATTCTTCTATTTCTCCAAATTTGTCTGCACTTGTAATAGATTCATGGTTCAAATTTACATAGGTTAACTGATTAAAATTCCTGAAACACGCACAAATAACACAAATATTTATTTAACTATTACAGTAAAATGAGTAAACAGATACATAAATGAGAAAAATGAACAATAATAACAATAACAATAATAATAAAATCCCACAGTAATAATAGAATCTAAATTCGGTAGATCACAATACAATTTACATTTTTTAATATATTTCTAAAAATATTGTTTAAATTTAAACATAATAAAGTAGTAATACTGACATTTGTTTTTCCTGGAGTTTTTGCATTCCAACAACTTCAAACAATGACATTTTTGATTGCTTTATAATTGCAGATATTTCTTCATCAATAATTGGATCACAATTTTTACCGTACTTATTTTTGAATGCTTCTAAAAAACTAACTTCACAAAGTGTAACTTTTTCAGGTCGTACGAATGAAGCTCCATTTGTATGTCTGTAATATTTAGTTTTTATCAAAAGACATTGCACTTTTTATCTTACTTTCAAGATGACTTACGTAGTTTTGAAATATCTAGTACCATTGTAAATACCATCGTGTTTACCTCTAAGTGGATCATCCCACTCAACTCCAACCCAAATCCCTTCAGTTCCTGGAATAGGTCCAACATATCGAACAATTCCATAATATGAATCAATAGACACCTTACGTCCAGTTTTAATTGATTGTTTAACTTTTAATATGTCCGACATGAGTATGATCTTATTTTTTTTAAGTTAAAGATAATTTCCGGTAAGGTACTTTCCGACAATCAATACTTTGCTATACGCAAAATGTAGAAAATATTTATTACAGATTACAACTCTATCATTATAATAATAGATTACTACTATGACTAGGTTTAAGGTTTATTAATATAAGTTGTACTGTGTACAGGTAAAGACGTATAATACATTAATAATTTACTTAAATAGAAGTCGAAAATCAAAAACTTAAGACGAATTCAATTGTTAAAAACTTAAATTGTTATAGAAGATGAGTATATTGCTGGGATATAGTATAGTTGTTTACAGTCATCTATAAGTAATAAGTATTAAATATTATTAAGAAAAAAATATTTGAGTACATCACTTAGCTTTAGTCAACAGTTATCACTTACTATTCAGCACTCGGTAGTTAGCAGTTTTCATAGTTTTTACTAATTTTATAATTTTAATCAGCGTTCAGCCCATTATAAAATGTGATAACTACACAAGACTTGATAACATAATAATAAAATGTTTATGGATAAATACTTTGGTTATTAAGAGCTGTGAAAGTATGCCTCGATAAATAAACAGGTATGTCCTCAATTTGTGATAGTCGCAAAATGGCTTCCCGGGTTTCCATGCGATCACTTCAATTTCTTACTAAAGGAAAGCATCAGCCATATTGTAAAAATTGATAACACAAGTAGTAGACATACCTATAGATTTATCATGACCTGTTATCTATTTCATGTTTGATAACCATTTATGGTATTTGTTTTTATATAGCAGTTCTATACATTCAAATTAGCATTTAGCAGGTAATTCGACAGCCCACATTGAAATATTGAATTGACTACTAATTAATCTAAAATTCTTATTCAGTAGTGGCATAACTTGTTTATCGTTACTCGTCAGACGCTTAATGACATGTTAAACAATAAATACTATTTTCGTTAGTTTACCGATTTACGGTTTTATATTGTAAACGATTAATATGTTAGTTTGTTGACCTCTGGAATAATTATCCTTAAATGTCATAGAGATTTCATTCAATAACGGTAAGTATATCATTTTGAATAAAAGCTTCAAGATATAATCAATATGTTAATTGATAAATTAGTGAAAACTTGACAATCTAAGCTTACATTTTTCATACAATACAAAATCTTTTTACTTACAGTATCTGAAATGTAGATCTGATGGTTTATTAGGGTTACTTACTGGTAACTACATTAAGGGTGCCCACAGGATAAATGTTTACCGAAGGTATGACTAAATAGTTATAATTGGTTGGTAAAAAAAGTCCAGTTAATCATATCATTTTAGTATTGAGTTATACCGTGGTGAGTATATTTTAAAAATCCCTTAAAGGTAATAGTCCATTTGGCCTTTCTATATAAACATTATTTAAAAGAAATTTTCAGAATAATCCTTGAGAAGTTATAAAATGTATATTTATCAATAAAAAATAGAACTTGATTTGGTTCTCTATTGAAACTATTATTAGATACTTTTGAAAAGATTAATAATTAAATACTAATTAACAGGTTAGAGAAAAATCATTCATTAGTTTTTGTTAACAAAAAAATCTGTAATTAAAGTGTTCATTCATTATAATAAGTACCTATTCTTAATTTAAGATGCATAGTGCCAGAAAATCTTAAACGTCAAATCCTCTATATCAAGAATATGCCAATTATAATTTTTAGATGTCATTGTTTAACCCTCCATTGAGAGAACGGTTTTTAGTCTCATTAAAATTAAGCGTGATTAAGGTAAACTTTTCTCGTTAGGCACACAAAGGGTAGGGTAATGAAAAGATTGATTTTTCAATATATTTGTATCAGAAAATCACTCTTTCCAATGCTCCACTCTTTATATCATGTCAGTGGGGTAGATTTTTACCCAGTGCGCCTTACATATGTTTAAATGACAATTTAAGACAAATTAAGTTATCAACTATTAGTATGTAAATTAACTATTTTTAGGTTTGGGTCAGTTTGGTTATGAAATAATATATTATTTTTAAATGTTTCTTGTACCTAATAAAACAAAATTTAATTTTTTGTTGGCTAAGCTTTTCTGGCGCTCTGCGTCTCATTTATTTTCCTAAGTTTTTTTTTATCACTGGTCTTTTGTTTCTATTTTTGTTAAATTAACACAATATCACTTTCAATTCTATTGCAAAAAACTTGTATTCATATTATAATAATAGTCATTTTATTTTTGTTTTCCCTAGGTTTTATTAATTCCATATTAACCACATTAAGTTTATATCAAGATACAATTTTTATTAAGAAAAAATAGTATTAATAAAAGAAATACTAACAACATAATCAGGGGAGGACTTTACAATTTGCCCCCCTCTTATGCTTAATAAAATTGGCCACTCTTATAAAAAAAATATTCTGTACAGCAAAACGTCCTCGCATAAAAATATTTTTTGAATGTATTTCATACATAAAAATTTAAAAAAAAACGTTCCCATTTTAATGTAATATGTACAATTTATTTTTATTAAGTAAAAATGTATATAAAAATATTTTAACCTTGTAATACAAGAAAACATTACATAAGTCATTTTATTTTGTTCTCTTAACGACTGTTTCTTTTTTTAGATTTTTAGAAAAACTATACTCTTTAAACTAATAGACAATAGAACCAATATAGGCTGATATTATTATGGGTTAGCGGTATTGTCTCAGCCGTTACAATTATAAGGGAGGGGGCTGACAGGACTTTTTAATATTTCTGACATTCCAATATATGTTACCAAGTAGAAAATAATAACCTATACATTAAAAAACCAAATTTTTTTGGAAAAACCATGTAACCGATATCAATTCAATATTCGATAAATTGATTATTATTATGCTGGTGGCGGTGATTTTTTTTTATAATATTAAGTGTGTTATCGGTTTTGAAAAAAAACCTATTCTACAATATCTGATATTGTATATCGATTCATGTATCGGGTCACTTATTATAATAATTAATTAAATTAGTTCAACGTACAAAACACATTGGAAATTTCACAAAACAGGATTCTTACAACTTTGGAGGTATTTAAAAGAATAACTAGACTCTCTAGAGAATTAGGATTAAGTCCGGATTTGGAATAAACGAAAAAAATTTATATACTTTGGTTCTTTTTCCAAAAAAAAACATAATTTTGTTGTTCATTTTCTAAAATGGAGTCCGAGGATTTTAATTTGTAAGCAATATTTACGAAAAAACCTAATTATTTAAAAATAAGTGTATTGTAAAAGCAGTGCAGTAGTTTAATTAACTTAAAAGCTTAATTTATTTTGTACTCTAAGGTACACTTTTCATACTGGGTCATTTATACAACGGACTTTCTCCCAAATACATGTTGTCATGTGTCTTTTAGAATTACATCGTAATTTGCAATAAAATATTCGTGTATTAAAATAAGGTATGAGATAAGTGCGGTTGAGCAATGCACGCGAGTAAAAATAATAATATGCACCACCCTTCTTCCCGTCCTAAACTTTGAACTTTAATAACTTCAAAAATAATTATCCAAAACTGTTTATTGAACAGTCAAAATGTTTAGTAAATTATTCTTTATTTAAAAAATTGATAATATCTACGTTACTATGTAAGTTTTAAAAGTTCATCTAAAAATAACTTATTCGTAAGGGGGTTAAAATATAAAAACTTGTGAATAACTGAAATCACGTTTTATAAAAACAATACGAAAAATAAAAATTCAATAACTAGTTAAACCATATGAGACATTGAATGGGTAACTTAAAAAAAACGTAGTATACATTAAATTTGGGCAGTATTACTGCAAGAATATTTCTCTATCGTGTATCTAGAAATAAAGTTCTCAGTTTATCCAACGTTTGCATCTATATTGTACCTACTACGAGGTCTAAATAATAAGTAGTACAAAAAACAATTAGTTAATGATCTTAATAATTTTAAATGTTTTCATGTAAAAATTGAACTGAAGGCTTATGAAGATTAGTTTTTATTATTTATATGGATATGCTCGTGAACTGTGAAAAGGGTTATACTTATTAATATACTAAAATTAACCAACAGGAAAGGAGTGTTGCGAGAGCACTCCTCTCCTTACTATTTTTATAACTATTGTACCAATGTTTCCTGTAGTGTCGTTTGTTCAGTTACTTCGACCTGTACACTTTTGATGTGCTACCGTTTTGAATTTTTATATTTTACAGTAAAGAAATATTTATATTTTCTCTTTTCAGCGCATATATATGTTACGTGATGCCAACAGCAAAGATCTCTGTGCGGGAAGAAGATATTATCCGATTAACTTTAGAATTTTTATATAATCGTGAACTTCATATTTCCCAATTAAGTGTTGAACGTGAAACGGGTGTAATAAATGGAAGTTATTCAGATGATGCGTTATTCCTTCGTCAACTTATCCTGGATGGTCAGTGGGACGACGTACTCGAATTTATTCAACCTTTAGAAGCAATACCAAATTTTCCTACGAATAAATTCAGATACTGTATCTTACGCCATAAATATGCGGAATTAATATGTATGAAATCAGAAGCAACTGTAGTTGGTAGTGTAGACACTGCTGTAGAGGAAGTAGTCAAAGTATTAAATGAGTTAGAAAAAGTTTGCCCGACTAAAGAAGAATATTCTAACTTATGTTTGATGTTGACTTTACCGAGACTTTCTGACAACTTGGGATATAAAGATTGGAACCCGAGTACAGCTAGAGTACAGTGTTTTCAGCAAGTTTATCCTTTAGTGATGAAATTTTTGCCTTGCGATAAAAAACCAGTTATACCAGATTCTTCAAATGATCGGTTGATACAGTTAATTATAAAAGGCATACTATATGAGTCGTGTTGTAATTTTTGTAAATCTAAGGCGGTTGGAAGTAAACAACCTTTTAGCTCTAGTATTTTGAATTTCTCCCACATATTTAATAGCTCAAGTAGTTATAAAGATACAGATCTTAGCTTGATGTCGTGGCTTCAAAGCATTCCAGCTGAAACTTTTGTCGTGCCGTTTGAACAAAAAACTTTAAATGTTGAACTCGAACAATTGGAAAGACCTTCTCTCGAAACCTCATGGACAGAACACATGCTTGTCACTCCTATAAAACCTAAACAATTTCCTCATTCTGCTATGCCTTTTACGAGACCGAGATCTGCTGCTGACATAATGTCTCGTTCGCTTTTACCGAATCTTGATCAAACTACATCATCTTCATCTCTCATGTCGTCTATTGGAGTGTCAAACATACCATCGAATCTAGTAAAATCGTCTTTTGCTAGTTTTCATCTAACAGGATTAAAAAGCAATTCGGCAATGACCAGCTCTGTAGATAAGTTATTTGAAAGTGAAGTGTTCGTAAATAGCATTAATGGAGAACTTCCGTCTATAACTGAAGTCGTCACACCAGTCAAGGAAAACAGAATAAATCCTTCTGAACTGTCTTCTCCTGAACCAAGTAGATCGTCAAATTCCACAACGGCGTCAAACACAACGCGTTCGTCTAGACGGGATTCGCTGACTGATCGATACCAGTCCATGTCTATAAATCAATCAAATACCAGTTTTGATATGCAGAATAGTCAGTGTGATCTTTTAAAAGAATATCAAAGACAAAAACAAAGGTATCAAGATGCTCTGCAAGATCAAGAAAGAGAACGTCTTGAGTTAATCCAACAGTTACGAAATACCGAATCAAAACTTCAAGAAGACAATGGGTATGTGTAAAAATAACTAGATCGAAATGTTTGTATAATATTATTTTCTTTTTAGAACTATATCCAATAGAACTTTATCTCGTGATTCTGAAATATTAGCAAATCCAAATGCTGCTAAACCACCGGTACCAACAAAAGTTAATGTGATAAATGAAAATGTCCGACAAATACAAGTAAGAGAATAACATAACACTAACAAATTAGCTATTTATGCTTGATCTGTCTAATCATCACCTAAAAAAATCGGTTATAGACTTAAGTCAGACTGATTATAGATTAATAGTACTCGACGAGATTCTAATGAATAATTATCGTTTAAAAAATATGTTAATTAGTTATATTTAAATTGTGTTTTGTAAAATAAGTTACCCGCATTAAAAGCTCCATAGGTGGTAACTAGGCGTACCTGTCCAAGGTTAACGTTTGTTTTTTATGATATTTATTGGGTGAGGTCCACCTACTGGTTAAGGTGAGACTTGTTTACTCGGTATAATTTGGTTGCGCGTGAATAAAAATGTTGATGGATATCTGCTAGTTTGGTAAATTTGTAGCGTACCAAATAAAATGCTATTTTGCTAGTTATATAGAAAAAAAGTATTTGTTTAGAATAATATATATGGATAGGTACGCTAAAAAAGTATGATCATTGGCTTAAAGTCAGCGTGTTAATTTGGTTAATTGTTTTCTAGTAACTGATTAAATTGATAACTAAATCATGATAGGGGGTAACCTTGAAACTACTTTTAAGTCCAATCAGATCTGCGTAAACAAGACTAACGTTTCTACAAATTGCTAATCTTAAAATACTATGCCTGATAAAAAATTTAATAATTCACCATTTCTCACTCTTCTTTATAGAAAACTTAATTTTTCATATTTCAACTTTTATACGCTAGAACTTTGTAAAAAATATTCAGAAATCAGATATAGTTGATATTTTGATAGAATATTTACCAGTTGTATTTCTTATAACAACATTTCGTTAAAACCCATTTTTATACCTACATTCATACTTTTGTTTAAAAAAAAAGTAAACGAAGTTAATATTATAATTATTGATATTATTTAACAAATTGTTTGAAACAATTATTATGAAATTGAAATATCCTAATACAGCAATATAGCATTAATATTTTGTTTTGCGTGAATAAATATATTAAAATATAATAATTAATTCTACGACACATGGCGGTTATGAACCTTTCTAGATTTATAGAGCACATAAGTGTCTTGCACTTGTGGCACTTGTGGCGATATCGAAAAAAAAAAAAATTTTAAATAGTTAGTTATATATCCTACTATTGAAAATCCGTTTCCAGTTGAAGCACGTTAGAATGATTAATATGTATAAATATGATTATGCTATTTTTTATGGTTACACGTTCGAATATCCGTTTTAAATTTATATACCGTAATACTCCATTAGTTACCTATTGTGTAGTTCCACGTAATTTGCTGGTGTCTTTTTCGTTATAATTAAGAAGCATAAATAACGAAAAACAAGAGCGCTATTATTATCGATTCAACACGACATTAATACAAATTGTTCGGGAGAAAACTGTTAATCGCAAAGTATTGTTTAGCGTAGAGTATGATGCGTCATACAGTTATACACCGTGTGAGCGCCGCGACATCAACGAATATTGCTATGGTGCTGGACCTCCAACCGGCAACCGAATATGGTTTGGTGGGGCCTCGGACACAATACCGTGGCCGGGTGGCTCGCCGCTCGAGTCGTTCCCGCGAACATTCAATAGTGTACGCGTAGCCTGTGATCACGGACTACCTTGCCATCGCGCCACACGTGGATAGTGATCGTCTGTCAATTTTTTCTTCGTTCGTGGTAACTAAATGACGGCCACTGCAGCTGCTCTGAAAAGGCTCGAGGCCTTGTTCGACGACGTAAAACTCAAGAACGATGTCGGCGATCCACTTAGTAGGGCCAAGAGAGGGTCTGTAGAAAAGGTCACGTTCGCCGTGACCGCAGACTGTGACATACACGGTCGCCGTAAGTCCGAGCACCTTCATGGAAATCACAAAGCTAGCATCGTATCGTCAGTGCCTTCACGGCGCGAATCCATGCCAATCACCGGCTCTATTCCGGCGGCTAGCATGCGCCGTCGCGACTCCATCGTGCTGGGTTCGCCGGGTCGCGAAACCCTTTGCCATCACCCTTCTTCGTTTCCGTCGTCGCTGCGCCGAGACTCATCCTCGTTATCCGCAAACCCGCCGCGCCGCGATTCGCTGAATTCAAACGGACGCCGGGACTCACTGTCGCCGCCGACGGTCACGGCGACCACGGGCGTCGTGTTGCGTCGTGACTCTGGCACCGGCCGCAAGGAGTCAGTGCCGGCGTGGCGCAGGTTCTCCACCGATTCGCTGGATTCCGTGCGTCGCAACTCTTGGGACCCAAACAGAAGAGGATCGTCAGGATCTTCTGCCGGTTGCGAAGACACTATTTTAGAGGAAAGCTCGCGGGTAAGTCCCGAGTAAAGTACGGATGAAGGTTGCACGACGCAACGGTACCTATATGATCTATATAATGTTTTCATTCGTTCGATTGCGTTTTACGAGCGTCGTGATCGCACTTTCCGTCCTATCACGACTTGCACAGATCGCCGTTGCATCACGTTTGTTCTTTAACATAATGTAACTGCGATATGTACATTACACCCGTTAACAATACTTACCGCGTTTAATAAATGTTATAATTTAAATTGTTAGCGCGTGTCAGCGAACAGTATAGACTTCTACGTTCCACCGCGGAGTGGTGTGTGATGGCTAATACTCCTTTGAAAATCAAGCCTTGAACGTTGACAATATACCAAACGACTGTTATGCTGGACGACGACGGTCTTGTCAAAACGATACGATAGTCAATTTATGATGTTATATAGTTATCTTTTGTTGTACACGCTTACGTTATTGTGACGCCTTATAATCGCGGGACACATGATGTTGTTGACAACGCCAATTATTTACGTGTGTGTTTGCCGTGGACGATCAGAAAATCATTTGTGGGTCGTTGGCTCTAGATTATTTTCGGCCTCCGGCCAATATCGTTTGCTCTTCTAAAGATGGTTGAAAAACTATATACTAAAAAATATCGTGTTTATTTCATCTGAAAAATCCGTTTCTCCAGTTTGAATAATTCGAAGAATTCCTTCCTGCAACATTTAAGTGAACAATGTGTTATTTCCAAACACAACCTGATTATAACAGTCATTGTTGTTGTTGATTGAGGTCTTCTATTGAGTTCTTAATTTGTATTTTGTAATTTAGTACTTAACCTTTATTCTAAACAATTTTTCTAGATTAAATATAGCTTCAAGCTTTTTAAATTCAATCTGGGTACTTGCTTTTTGCTTTTAGGTATAAAATTTATCTATTATATGGATTAACATATTTTTAAAACTCACATGACTAAAACTTCAACGACGTGCTTTAATATCCTCATCATTGTAACCTGGAATTGTTGGAACGATTTACTCGAAAATCGCATTAATCAATGAAATATTGTATCTAGAAAAATACTTTGTTGCAAGATAAAAAATTTAAAAAAATCACTTTTTCAAAAACTGACTAACTGAGATTACTCCCCTCCTCCCCAATATGAAGTATTATGCTTACTTTTTAGAAAATTAATTCAAAGAAAAATTGTTTTTGCTATTATTCTTTTATTTTATTTTTCTTAACAGTCTTGCTCGTGGTCATAAGTCAGTTAATTAAATTTTGCTGGTCGGTGTTTTCAATCGTAGTAGGCGTTTATGTATGAGTGTTGCTATAGAAGTAGGTTTAATTATAGCTATTCTTCTTATTGCATTGAATTTAATAATGTTAGGCAGCTGTGTTATCGTCATTGTGTATTTTGTTAAATAATATAGTTAGCAAGTAGCAACAATAACCAATTAGTAAATAAACTACACACATAGTAAATAACCACAGGTCGAGTATTATAATGTAGGTAAACAGGTCAGTAATATCAGTATGCTTAGCTAGGAATACACATTTTACGCAGAGAGTAAAGTTTTAGGTTTTGACGTAATTGTACTAACCGTTAAATTATTATAAAAACCCTTTTTCCCTATACAGAAGCATACTTTTATCAAAATTTAGCTATATGTTCATCTTTCATAATATTTTGAATAATAATTTATTAAAAAATAAATTTACTATTTGAACATACTTCCCGAGTTCAATTTTTTTTTGTCTCCTAGAATGAGAAAATGTATAGAAAGACTTAATAATCTTTTAAAAGAATATCTTGAAAGTATAACATGTTTTTTAACTCGTTTTTTATTATTATTGACCTAAGTAAAAATTTAATGTAATTTATAATTATTATGATTTTATTTTGTAACAAATTAAGTCAAGAGTTAGAAAATATTTTTGCATTAAAATGATGCTATATTTTTTAATTTTTTAATTTATCAGTTTTATTAGTTTCAGTTGACTGTAACTTGATAAAAAAAAATGTTATGACATTTTTCTCATTTTAGCTTTAGGAAAATGTTTTTAAATTTTAAAAATGTTGATTAACTTTCAAGTTAACATTTTTTAAATAAAAAATTAGTGTCCCATGTTATTCAATTAGAAAATATAAAATCATGAGGTAGTACTTAAAGTTGAGCTAGGCCCTAGGGGTCTAAAATGTTTGGATTTCTCCTTAGGCAGTCGCCGATTGGAAGGGTAAGAAAACAATTTTGTTTGGAAGTCCAATATTTAAATTAGATGTGTAAATTGTAAAAGCTAACACTTAAAAAATTTTCTGAAATAAAAATATTTAAATTTGAATAAATTGTTTATCTATTATTCTACTCAAATTTGTTGACGTTACTTAGAAGAAAACAATATAGTTGCAACTTTTGTTATTCTCGTAAACAATTCCTTTAGTAGGTGTATGCACGTTAGTACAATTCAGACGACTACGATATCCATCAAGCTTACATAGCATCATCAAGGCTGATGGCTCAAGGTCTTTGCCATACGCGAAGATGGTGCGTGGTGTGCTGTAGCAGTAGTCGATCAAATGTCCTTATTTTTAGCCCACGCGAGTTGCGTATATGCGTATTGCACTAATCTCTCACTAGTTATCGTCATTCGTCGGTCAAGGTTAAGTTATGGTTTCGGCATCTCACGGAAATAAAATTGTTTTGTACCTATTTCGAGAAAAACGAGTTCCGCCAACGGGACATCCATTTTTGTACTTTTGGCTTCGATATAATTATTTATTAATTTTAATAAGTTACGTCAAAGTCACTTACAATTCTTTTAAGGAGCGTTTACGACCTTGTCGATTCGTGTTTAGTGCATACCATTAAAAAAATTGTATTCTAGTGACGGTTTTGAGATGATTTTGACAAGAATTTTTCTTGAGTACGCGACAAGAACAGATTTCATTTCGCTTTAATCCCAACAGAAGTTATCGACCGGTCTGAGAGGAGAATCAAAGAGTACCGGCCCTTATTTCAAGTGTAAAATATTGGAAACAATGACAAGTCTTTTAATTTTTTGACGGCTCGGCGACATTGACTGTTGTCTTCTGGTTCGTACGTAGTACGTACGCTTTAGATCCAAATATCTTGTATGTATTGATGTATGAAAATCGGCTGATTTTTAAAATTTTCGTCATCCTTTTTCAATCTCTTAGGTTCTTGGGCTCTCGAGGTTTTTTACAAACCAGCCTCTTGCGCGTTAAAACCGGTTTTGTTTTTCGATAAGAACATTACAAAAAACAACGGGGTCTTCCCCCACTTTGACTCAATCATTTGTATCCCACCCGTTAGTGAAATGATTTACATTTCACGGCGCACGCTGCCACTCCTTTCGGTTCGATTACTGTTTTGTGGAGGTATATTATAATAGTGGCTAACAAAACTTAACCTGTTCTTGCGTCGTCGTTTGCTGGATAAGATCCACTTTGTTATCGATAATTATTCAATATAATCATATCTTCTTATAGGCCCTGGACGAAAGAATTGTTTATGTCCTTGTTGTCAGCCTGTAGTATAGTTGAAGATAGAGAAACTATAATATACTCAGTGAGCTAGTTTTATGTTAGGTAATGCGGATGATACGCCGAAGACGACGCGCGCTTCTTTTATTTTTTTTATTACTGTGGTACCGGTAGCAGCCGGCAGAACCGCCACACCGCCATCGCCACGAGCCAATAGCAGTAGTTGGTTTTGATACACCGAAAGAAAGTAGTACACTTTGATGATCAGTCGACCTGACTAAAGAGATTTTACTTTGTAGTTTTCATCACTGAACGCGTTAGTTTCGTTCTATGCTGATATTCTTTCGTATGAACGTCACTCCGAATTTTTTTTTTGATAATTTAGTTCGCTGTTTACTTTAAGTTTACAGACCAATCAAGTATGGTTATATAAAAGTGGTTGTTTATTTTTAAAGATGTCGTAGTGACTATAAGTGTTTACATACGAGATTATTTTTATTTTTATTTTCTTATGAATAACTACAATATTTATCGGTCAAAGGATCCGTGTTTATTCCATGTTTAAAAATTAGAATGCAGGTAATTTAATTTGTTTTTTTTTACTAATTTAAATCCCATTTGTGTATTAAGGTATTTCCTTGGTCTCCACCAACGCGTAATAGCTATTATTATTTAAATAAACATCTTCGAAATAAATTAATGTTTGTTGTTTTGCGATATTGACTTATTTCCATCTGGTGTATACACTTGCTGCGTGTGCTAACGCAAAGATATTTGATAAGATAAGGCGTGTGGTTTATCGGTGAAGGTGCGAAGGGCGAACTGTTTGTGATGGAAATTAATTAAAATACATCTATAAATTCGTAATAATAGAAATGAAAGTAGTTTTAAACAATTATTTTAGTTTTCGATCCTGTAGTAAATTTCACTATAGCTGTTAAAATGTGTCTACGTTTTTTATGTACATTTTATATCCAGTACTTATAAAAAATACTATTTAACAATAAAAAGTGTCATCAAGTTTTATTTTATAAATTGACGCCAATAGGCATTTTTAAGAGTATATACAAATATGTATAACAGTACTATAGAATAAAACAATAAAAACGACAATAAAATTAATTTAACTTACAATACAAATAAATCACAAGCCTCAGTACAAAATCTAAACAATGTCATTGCATTCACGCATCATCCTATAAAGGGGTGCATTTTAGCAAAATTTGTGCTATTGAATGGTAATGGTACATATTGTCAGCCTATTTAGCAAAAGTCGTATCTCCAAAAAAAATTAATTTTCGATATATTACACTATTTGAAAGAAAAAAAACTGTGCGTCGGCTGGTATAATAATGATTCTGTTTCAGTGATTTTTTTTTCATGAAGTGTGTGATAATCAGTAAGCAAATTGTTATTGAACTAAATAGAAAAAATTTAACGTTGTTTCCTTTTAGTGTGGAATTTGGTATTTTGGAGTTACGCCCATTGCTTAATAGGCTGACGATATAATTGATTCTGAAGC